AGTGTCATAAAGTTTGGGGGATGGGAACCAAAAAGGACTTAAAATGAAACTAAAGCAATGTCTTTAAAACTTGGGAGATAATGTTTATATTCCATAATATTTTTAGGTAGCTGAAAAATAAAGAAGGGAGACACGTACAGAGGAGCTTTAAAAAGTTCATAGAAACAGATCTTTCCACCTCAATTTTCCATAATTATATTTTAATTTCTCTCACATATGTAAGTCTGATCTCAAAATCAAACTCACCACCATCAAATCAATGCAGATTCATAGTGACTATAGAACAGGGTGGAAGTGCCCCCTGTGAGCTGTTGAGAATGTAACTGTAACAGGAGTAAAGAGCCCTGTCTTTCTTCCATGAAACTGCTGGTATTTTAGAACCATAGACCTTTCAGATCACAGCCCTTATAAGCCTGATAGACTCATGTATATTAAATTATTCTTTCCCTGCCACTGTGATAACACAAATCCAGTTGTTTCAGAGAACAAAACTCTTGACCAAGAAATCTGCTTCAATAAGATTCAGCATAGTTCAATATTCAGCAATTTTATCCACGTGAAGAAAATATCCCTGTTGCTCAAGTCCATTCCGACTCACACAAACTGAACAGTACATACTCTTGGGGTTTCCACGATTATACATCTTTACAGGAGACTGCCACCTCTTTCTCCATGCAGCAGCTGATAGGTTTCACCTACCGGCTTTTCAATTAGCAGCCAAGCAGTTAACCAATGTACTACCAGGAGTCCTTTGAGTAAATGATACATACTAAACTCTTAAATACCTTACATATTTCTAAAGCATCATTAGCCTGTGAGTTTATGCTATATAACCATATTACAATTTTGTTTTCTGAGTATTTCAGTAACTAACCCCAGTAGAGTTGGATCGATTACAACTCTGAGTGAACAGTCTTCAAAGGACCACACTACTTCATATATAAGATCGCTACAGTCAAAGTGTAAAAGCCTCATCTAGTGGCTCAAAACTCATAAGCACCAATGGTTCCGATTTTTCATTTTGTTTTCAAAGGAAAAAAAAGAAGGATAATCAGAAAGCTTGGTTTACTCCTCCCAAAATAACTCACAGAATTGCTGCTGGATGCCAATGCTTCATGATTTTCTGTACTGGTGCAAGATTTTGGAGAACTGGGAGGAGTCCGAGAAGTACATACTAGATGAACCATATGATACTCATCTTGCTAAAATTAAAGAAGATTATATTTAAAGGGCAATACCAGAAAATGTACAGTTCAAAAAGGCAGTAGCGCTAAGCTGAAATACTTTAGTTCCCTTCTTACACAGTCATTTTATCACCCATAAACTCTCATTTGAAGTTAAATCAGCCATTTTTAATCTGCAGTAATATTTTTAAGTTTGGTATTTTCTCCATACTTAGAAAAATTTAAATATTCGGTAACTGCTATCTCAAAAAAAAAGGTTACTTTGCATACCACGCAGTACTGAAGAAAACAATTAAGTACATTATCTCAACTCAACCTATTATTTCAATATAAAAACATCTAGCTCCTTAGGATCCGCACTAGAAGAGACACCTTTAGGCTTAGGCCTACAAATCGTAATTAGTGAAAAGGAAATATTTCCACTACATGGGACATAGCAGCTATAAATGAAACTCAATCTCTCCATAATCTTCTTTCCCTTCATTTTTAGCAAGGTGATATAAGGTTTTTTGTTTGTCTTTCTTTTGCTTTTTAAGTTAAAGGCTATTTTATCTGTAACATGTTTATACTGATACATACAAAAGCATACATTTGCAATAATCATTTATTTTCTATGTGTTTCCAGAAAAGGAGACCTATGGCAGAAGGAAAATAATCCAAGAAATGATAATGGGATGGCATTCTGACTTACTGACAACATGAATACACTTATTTACACTTCATCATAAAGAGTAGGCAAGAAAATAAGATGGAAAAGGAAAACAAACAAAGAAAGAGAGCAAACCAAAGAATGAGTGAGCAATTTAAAAAAGGATGATGAAAAGGGAGAAAGGGAGGGAGAAACCCATTGATAAAAGAGAACAGCTACTGAAACTTTTCAACTGTCTACAATGAGCCAACAACTTAGAACTGTGCTTAGTTCTGTGGTGACTCTCTCTTAAAAGTGGCTCATGATACTGCAGGGCGACCAGACTAACACATTGGAGCACATTTAGGAAAAAATATAAAACAGTCTTTTACACAAAACTGAAAAGCACAAACTATACGTGCTTTAGAAAGACGTTGATGGTGATATTAAGAAGGCTTCACAGAAACAGCAGTATAGCACAGCAGGTGGAAAACATTCCTAATTTACAATGTCCCTTCAGCTTCCAAATAGCAAATATGAGAAACCATCCAAGTATACAATGTTCAGCCTTCGAAACCTAATTTCAAAGGTCATATTAATCACAACTAACTCATAGTACTTCATTCACCTGTGTGGAATGTTTCAATAAAATATTGTCTAACTAAATATGGAATGCTAGTGGTAGCATTTAATTTGAAAAAAGCAAAGGGGTATACTGACTTTAATAGAAGCAGTCCAAATATCCATTCAAAATAGTACAAATACTCTGTTCAAAATGTTTTCTCTACAGTCCTCTGTGACAGTTTTTAAGTCATCTGTGTCTGAATACAGTTCTGACAGCAAAAGCTTTAGTGTTCATGTGCAGTTTCAAGCTATCCTTGTGTCAAAATAATAAATAGATCTGCATTTCAAAGATCAGATAGCAGAAAGGTTTTTAAGCATAAAGAGAAATGAATCTGCTGCAAATCCCATCCTTTGAGAGAAAGAAAAAGAGAGAGAAGTTATTATACCACTTGGACAAACTGAAATGATATAATTTAAATGAAATATCAGGCAAAAAAACCAGACTGGAAAAGCTAAAATGCCAATTTATCTAAGCAGGCAGAATATACTGGCAGAAATATTTTAAAGTTTCCCACAGATTTCCCAAATCATAAGCATTTAGGAAAGGATATAGCTTATCAAATGACAATAAATACCTAGAGCAACATGAAGAGAGAAGTCAAAGATATTAAGGCAAAACATCTAAACTTATTCAATTTGGCTTGCTATATCCACAAACAAAATACATTTCAAATGCAGAAAGGTTCTAACAGTATAAATTCCACAAATGAGCTAAAAGATATTATCATCAAGGTAACTAGCATTCAAGCTGGTTGCATTAAAAAAACTATATTGAAATATATTTTAGGTCTGAGCATCAGAATTCAAAGCTTACTAACTGGTAGGTCATTTGGGCTTCATTCTATTCCCTGTCCTGAAATTAAATTCTTAACCCGATTAATCTGTATTAAAATGCCATGCTATTTGCTCAAAAGATGATTTAGCAGAGAGACTGGTGTCAATAAAAATCCATCACTAGTACTTGGGAACATTCTGTTCTGTTCCTCCACTGCTGCTAAGTCATCATTGCTTTCTTACAAAAGATGACAAAATACCCAAATACCAATACCAATTTTTAATTCTATTTCAGATGTGACTGTCAGGTTGGCATACAAAACTGTTACACAAACCCGTAAGACTCTATCACCATGTTCTTTACTTTCTCTTTTATCAGGCTACCCAGAGGAATTAAGTATCTAAAAACTAAATTGACTTGAGTATGAATAAAACGTCAGAACCTATCTCTTCTCACACTTTGTAATTATCTGGCATCAAAACAGTCATAGGAAAGCTTACTTTTCTGAGAATGTCTTTCAGCTGCAGATGATCGGGAAGCAGTCTGCCTGAATACACCAATCTCTGATCCTTTGTTAACTAAGAAATGGGACAAAGAGAAGAATTCAATTTTTTGTAATTAAACAAATTGAAGGTTAGGAATAACATGCCTAAGATTTAGTTAAATAGAACTCCTTTTAGTCACAAGCAGAAAACTCATAAGTAGTTTAAGAATTATTTTTCTCAGTCCCACCTAAGATATGTAAGCGCTCTGCAAATGTAGGGAGGTGCACAAAAGGGGGGAAAAGAACTCAACCAATGGAAATCTAGCGACTATAGATGTCACTAACTGCAGCTAAGTACCACCAAATAAACTGTTGGAGAAAAAGAGGTATTAGATATTTGTCTTTGTCGTCGGAATGTGGTAAAGTGACTGTCATTAAAAACCTTCAATATGCGTTAAAACTTCAAGGTCACCAAAGTTGAGTTTTGTCAGTATTTTACATCTAAAAAGTACACAGAAGATTCCTCTTCGTTACTACCATCAAGCAGAACAATTTATTGTTTTACATTCAAGAATCATGAGGTTTAGTTAAGTAACTATTCCATTTTTTTAGAATTCCTGCCACACTCACAAAAACCTTTCTACATTTTTCAAAATTTCAAGACTAAGGAAAAATCAACACAAGTACATGGAGATTCAGTTTTCACCTTCCTATGAACTGAAATAGGAAGTAATGTTCTGGTGATTTCCATCTTAATTTGGACTCATAATAAATCTACCAAGTACTCACACACAGTTAATATTAGAAGACTTAAAATTCAAGACTAGCTCATAGTCCCATAAAGCCTATTTCATAATTGAAGAACAGCCAAATGTTTATCTAAATTATTTTGAATTCTATCAAAATAATTAAACATTAACTCTATC